TATATATATATAAAATTTCCCTAACAAAATTAATCAAATGGTTTTCATTTATCCATATGAAAAAGATAATTTTCCTTATTCATAGTGTAAAGCTATTGGAATATTTACCAGCTTTTGGGATTTGCTGCCCCATTTTTTGCATTTTACTCTAATTGAGTGACCTCAGTTGGCTCCCATGGGACAGCAGGAAACAGAAGGATATGAAGAAATGGGCTTCCCAAACTGTGGTGGCGTTGTATATAGGACATGTAGCCTGATTCTGGTCCTTACTCTGTTAGAGCTAACTTCAGTTATTCCAAAATAATGCTGCTTTGTAGATGTGTCCTGAATAAATAATCAGAAAACAGATTCTTCATCATGGTTACAAAGGTGCTACTGAATCCCTGGGAATGTTGATTTCACTTTTGTTTTGCTGCTTCTCTTTCTTTCTGGTATCACTCAAACTATTCAAATTGAAGACTGTGCCTGGTATCTGAGTAACAAATGTGAATTGAATGTACTTAAAAATTAAAAAGCAGAGGTAGCCATTGGTTCAAAAGTGGAGAAGTACTGACACATGATCTTTTGGCAAATGATAATTGTCTGACATCTTAAACCATAGCAGCAGCATCTCATTAAATTAAGGAAGTTATTTCCCAGTCTCAAATACAGTAATCCAGAGGCTGCCCAAACCTTGCCCAGCTAAGAAAATAGAGCAGACAATAGAAGGTCACATCAAATCTGCATTACATGTTGCAGTTTCCAGCTGCCCTTAAGTTTGCACTTTTTTGGGGGATCACCACCAATAATTTTACTGAGTCATACAACATTATAAGCAAGCAGAGCAATTCAAATGCAAGTCAGACTTTTAGATCACTCCTTCTTCCGTGCTATCACCTTGTTTCCTTGGGAGCATCAAACCATCCTCTCCCATTAATTACTGTTGACAAACGTATACTGGAACATGTATATATGAATATGTATTATTCACACCACACATTAATATGCATTAAGCATACACTATCAATAGCATTATATTGTACATATATACGTCTAGCAGTTACATGGATAGAATCCTGCTCACTTATGCTAAGTACCCCATAATACTTTGTAAAGCTGAAATCAGCTTTTGCGTTAGAAAATAGAGAACTTCCCAAAGGCAAAGTGCATTAATTTTCAGCCCTCATATAAGTTAGAGAGGTACCTTGACACTTTGATGGACCAGGACCTGGAATGTGAGTATCCAAAACAAAGATAAGGAAGGCACAGAACGAACAACACGTTAAGAAACTGGTGGGTTTTATATTTAGTAACGTGCAGAGGGTTTTTTGTAACTTGTAAAATCATGAAATGTGTAACTTTGGAAGCACAGACACTGTATAAGGTTAATTTAATAGTGCTGCAAGACAGGACTTGCCAAAAACTGGTGTCATATTGAATCTTTTTTCTTCTGTACTACTGTTGACTTTTAGCAATAAACTGACTGATATTGGTTATTTAGTCTTAAGTGTATTTCATAATGAACCGATGTGTGGTCAAGCAATTGATTATACAATTTACTAACAATCATTTCACTCTTTTTAAATGTATTGATTCTCCTATATGAATGCAGTCTGTGCTCATAAATCTTTGCTGCACAATTGATCACCATCCTGTAGTGTAGATGGATCTTTTATAGCAGAGAAAAGATAAGACTTGGCAATAATGAATATTAAGGCTTTTGGACACGTTTGATCCTTAGCTATGTAACTCACAGTTAGGCTAAGTGGTCTATGGTGGGGATAGTTCATCATACAAGGTCCCCCACCTTGGAATAAGCTATAGAAGAAACTGCTAACTACACCATAGTTCATTCATTTATTAATCACATGCCCTGTGAAGTGGAGTTAGGTTCATTTGTTTAAACTTTAGCTTCAGTTTTCTCCACAGTTTGTTTTAACCTTTACGTTATGGTGGGTTCAGAAAGACCGAATCAATTGTTCCCTTTTCAATTAATCTTGTAGAGATAGGCCTGAACTACAAAGTCTTGGAATTGCCCCCAATTGGGGGGGGAAGTCCCTAAACAAAGCCCAGCTTTACTAAAAAGCAGTAGCTGTTTTAAATAGTACCCATAACTCTATTAGAAAAACATTCTTAAATGCTAAAATATCATAGCATATTTTGCTTAATTTACCTGACTACTTGTTTATACTTTTATTTTCAAAGGCTATGCTGGAATACCATGAAAATGAAAAAGTAGTAAAGTGATGCAAGAAATTCTTAAATTCCACTTTGGAATCATCTTCATTATTGTTGTTTAGGGAACTGTCTAACACTGATGGGCTCAATCTCCCTAACAAAGCTTGTCATAGCTAGACTGGTCCTGATCCCCGTTAAGAGCCAGCCACTTTGTGCACATTTTATTTTAAATAACTGTCACACCTCCTGCAGACTACCAGGATAATAATTCTCCAAGGAACCTAAGCAAATTAGGTGGTAAAAATAAATGAAAATTGAATACGTAACTCCCTTAGGCTCCTTTGAGAATCTGGGAAGCTGGAAATTATGGTACATGTACTGCAAAGGCAGTTGTAATTTTGAGAGATCAAGTTTATGCGGTAGGTTGCAAAAGCAATGCACATTATGCTCTCTCTTTGAGACTTTGCTTTAGTTATTTATCTTCCCCCGCTGTCCCCTCCTCCATCTAAAGTTAGAGAAGCTTTTCATCTCATGTCTTAAATAAACTTGCCAAGTTAAACTGGAATTGTCACTGGTCAGTGTTCGCTACTCAGGAAAGTATGGTCTGCATCTTTACAGCACTTAGAAATATTCTAGTATAACACTGTGTATGGTTGCTGTTTCCCAAGAACCCTCAAGGAAATAAGATGTGCAGCTTGTGTGGCAATACAAATGAGCAAAAATGTGTTTTAAGAGCCCACAAGCAACTCAACTTTTATTAAGGGGTCCTATTCACATGTGTGTGGAAGTCAAACTATCACCTCCAGCTGAAAGACAATGTATTAGAGGAAGAAAGACACCATAAAGACAACAGACATATACAACACTGGGATAGTATACTGAAAAGGCTTGAAAGAAAGTAGCTGTTCAATATGATGGGGCAAATTTTTCTCTTACTTACACCTAGGATAACTCATTGGAGTTGCAAGGAGGTAAGTCAGAATTTACACCAGTAAGTCTAGCATCATTTGGTCAAGTGGTGCAAATCAAAATACATCATTGTTTCTCCATACAACATGTGCACACTACTGGCTACATGAAACACATAAACAGGCACAGCTTCTTGTTGGCTCTCAATGTTAATGGTGGTCATAGTTGCCATAGAACATACTGGGAAAGTCAGTCAGGTTCTGGAGACTGGTTATCATAGTCCATCTTATGGCTAAGGAAGTATTTCCTGAATCCATTTGGCTGTGCAGATGCACTGCTTCAGCTGGTGCCTACTGAAGTATATGGTTCCATGCCTGGAAAACAGCAAGCATATTTAGATTTACACAACAACAGGCTTTTGTTTATAAAATATTTGTTCTTGCTCATTGTGGGTGAAATTCACCTCTGGAAAGACAGCCTCTAGAAGACTGATGCACCATTGAAATCCACATATGTACTCAATTCAGGGCTTAAGTAGTACCTAAATGGTTACTGTGTCTTATGCTGCCCCTTTACATAAAGATCAGAAATGTGCTTGAATTGAAATGACCAAGGATAATTGCATTGAAGACTGTGTAGTTTGTTTAGCATTTATATTCAGGGCCCCTCTGAGACCTCAACACACACTTTTAAAGTAAGCTATACATTTCATTTCTGGATACCTATATACAACAACATATAAGGCACATGCTCCCTTAGATCAGTGTATGAACTACTGTGGCTACTTCTGCAGGGTGAAACACAGGAGCTGTTTAAGTAAGTTAGACAGGAAGTGAAGAATACCAGTTGAAGCTATATGTTCAGCCCACCTACATTTCCCCTAATATCCTGCACTGGAAATTGTTCAGAACATCTGGGCTAATTTAACTCTTATGAATAATGCCAAAGTGGAAAATTTTGGGATTACAATTAGATGGCAATTCCAGCAGCAAAATGTGCCATACCACCATGCTGCGGAGGGAGGGGATTAGTTCAATACTGGCCGTGTGAAGAGCACTACCTATTAAATAACCAGTACTACGTTTTGTAACCCCCTAGATTTCTTTGGTGATTCTGACTGCTAATGGCACTTCAGAGTTAAAGGCTTATAATGGGGGGAGGGATGGCTCAGTGGTTTGAGCATTGGCCTATTAAACCTGGGATTATGAGCTCAATCCTTGAGGGGGCCATTTAGGAATCTGGGGCAACTCTATCAGGGATGGTACCTGGTCCTGCCATGAAGGCAGGGGACTGGACTCAATGATCTCTCAAGGTCCCTTCCAGTTCTATGAAATAGGTATATCTCCATATATTAGAACAAACTCCTGGGCTACTTTATTTTAGAATCCTTTAATTTTTGAAGAGCCATTAGCAGTTAGAATCATCAAAGAAAATCTTAAAATAAAATAGAAGGCACAGCAAATTCTTCATGCCGCAGATTCCACCCACTTCCACTAATTCTTCCTCCACTTGCTTTTCTCATTAGGGAA